CCTCTCCTTCCCATGTCTCCCAATCTTACTTTCCCTTGAACTTTTCACTCTATTCCCACCTCTTCCTGGAAGCCTTTCCTGGTCATGCCAGGCCTTGCTCATCTCCTTTCATCCCAAAGTTCTGTCACACATATGTTGTCAGTAGATCAGTAAGAAATCACAAAGTAGTGCATATTATGAGCTAAGGGAGATGCTGAGGACAGAGATGAACTAAATAGGCTTGACTTCTTCTTTCCACTCCAGGAGAAAAACATGCACTCAGGAAGCCATGACCAATAACTGGTAAATGCACTGCAAATGTGAATGTGCTCGCTGGAGTAGAGGGTGCTGTGGGAGTGTCTCCCGGGAAGACCTAACTTCTGAGAAGGCTTCCCAAAGAGGCAGCATCTAGGAAGAGAACTGAAGGAGTAGGTATTTAAGCAGAGGACTGGCGTATATGTGCACCCCGAGGCACGGAAAGCTCATTGAGGCTGGAGAGGCAACGCAAGACCGTGGAGGCGTGACCTGTTATCACCGTGTGCCAGTCTCTTGCATTGAATATTTGTAGAAATCTGTCCTTGCCCTCCTACTTAGGCCGTGAGCTCCTTGCAGGCAGGAGCTGTGCTGAAAAACCTCCAATTCCTCCCCAGCAGTGGTGGTATGCTGGTGCCTAGTGACTCTGAAGGCTGATTGACAAGTTTTTAGAAATTTTGTGAGCCGGTTAATGCACATGGGTCGCTGGAAATTGGTCTTGATGAGACTGTTTACAGTATGGAAATTGGTGAATGCTATAAATCTAGGCTCTTTCATTTTTCCTCTCAGTGACCTGGTATTTTACCGTTTACCAGCACACCGCTGTCAGCTGACGCAGTGCTGGCCCACAGAGCAGGAAGCAGCAGGGTGGAGAAGGAACTCAGAACTGGGAGATAGATATTAGCTGTGCATTGCTGGGCAAGCTATTTAACTTCTCTGAGTACCAACATCCTCATTTATCAAATGAGATATTGAGACAGATTTGAAAGGATGAATATGAGAAATAAGTGATAAGAATTGTTCAAAGTAGAAGCTCTGGCTTAGTGAGGCAGACTACCCCACAAGGGGTTCCTTCTTGTCTTCGAGATCTGGAAATGTCTATTCTCTGTTCTTTTTGAAATGTTTTTCAAAGCATAGTTTCACATTTTACCTTATGAGATGTGATATCATCTGTTGTGTTTACTTCCTCACAAGCCATTTCACATCCTGTCTGGAAGAAGGTGGGATACATGCCTCCCTATAAAGCATACACTCCATAAATAATGGTTCTGTTTCCTCGCAGTTGCCCACCGCCCCCTTTCCCACCTCTGTTGACACAGCTCTCAGTAGGAGATCAGCCTTTACTTTTGACTGAACAGGCTCTCCCAGCCCTTTCCTAGGGCAGCGAGAAGAGAAGAGGACTCTCCTCATTCCAGGAGGCTCCCTGAGATTTATGACTCCATTTTGCAAGGCTGTGTTGTTCACCCCCATGCCTCTGAGGGTGCGAGGCCAAGCAACCTGAGCTGATACTGCCATTTCCCTGGGGAAAAGGAAAGCCAGTGTTGTCTGTTGCAGGGTGTCTGCCGTGTGTTGATTATTTAAGGATAATATTTCTGGCAGTGGAGCAAACGAGGCGGGAAATGGCTTTTGCGGGTGATTAAATGCTGAGATGATGTGGCAGCTTCCGTCTGTGGCCATGAGTCCCAACTACCTGACAAGAAAGAGAGATTTGAACAAGAGCTCCTCTTTGAGTGGTGGTTTTGAAGGCTGTAGGCAGTGAGCAATAACACCCAAGATATTTACAAATGGTGGAGGAGAACAGGGGTCAGGGAATGACTGACATGGATTTCAGTCCTGTTATTGGCAAAACTTGAAGTGCAACCTTGAGCAAGTCATTTTCCATCTGTGCCTTAGTTTACCTCTCCATGCAAAGATGGGTTTGAATTACATGACCACTGAGTCCCTCTCAGAACTTGGATCCTGTGATTTTTATGAACTTCACCAACAAGAAGAGACATTTCTATTTGGGCTTGTTTTATGTTCTAATTCCCAGGGACATATTTCTAATGGACTGTACTCCAGAGACTCTAATTATTTCTTGTTAGCCAAGCATAATTTTAAAAAGCAGCAATAAGCTGTGAGTAGCCTGGTATGTGTATGTTCATTTTTAGAGTGTTCTGGGAATTCAGCTGAACTCAACAAGAATTTATTGAGTGTCCACTCTTAGGATGAAGTATGGAGCACTTGAAGCCACAAGTGATTTGGAGTTGAAAACCAGGGTTTTAATCTTAGAATTGTTGTTTGTTAGCTGTGGCCTTGGGTGCATAGATATTGTTATGCTTTGTATGTCCTCTGAAATTCATAGGTTGAGATTTGATTAGGATAGGATTAAAAGGATGCACAT